AATTCAATTAAGTATAGTTATCGATTAATATAAGCTACATACATACATGCATACAATGTATATGTATAATGTACCTACATACATACAATGCATTTGGTTTTAAGTTATAGTTTCTTTACTCGAAGTCATAAACGCGACAATTTGATGCACGCTTGTACCTGATCTGCCTTAGTAATCAATCGCTAGTAATTTTTATAAACAAAAAAAAAATTTCAATTTCCATCGTAAATCTCAAGATCCCTGTTTGACCACCTCTTTAAAATTCGAATATTGGAAAATCCTTTCTTACGCACATGCTATATAACATATCATATGTCATTATAGGAACCATTATTCCAAATTTCAAGTTCTTACGTTTTGTAGTGATTGACATATAGCGATGAGTGAGTGAGTGAGTGAGTGAATGGTATTTGGATTTTATATTAGGTATATATTATATAGATTATAATCAAATATGTCCTGACTTACTGACTGATCAATATCGAGTCTAGACCAGTGGTTTCCAAACTATTGTTTCATCGCGGCACATTATTATTAGTTATTATGAGTCACGGCACATTTTGGATTAACATTGCCTATTTGCCAAAAATAAGTAGTTACTTAAAAGGTATAATCTTTATAATATTAATTATTATCTAGTAAAATTGTATTTACATTTTATATATTATTTCTCTTTCGATATTGAACAATATTCTTAAGTTCAAACATATCACACCAGTTTTCATGTTAAAGTACCTTATTAAAATAAAAAAGTTTAAGTTTTCAAGGCACAGCTTTAAAATGTCACTGCATGTCTTTTGGGAAATACTGGTTTAAACTATAATAAATAGAGACTTGGAATTTCAACAATACCTTCATACCACGATATAGGGGTGTACTAAGAAAGGATTGTTGAAATTTCACATTTTCGATATGAGCTCACACAGGCATTTTGTTTAAACAAACGAAAATAGAATATTTTTTTATGTATACAGTATAATATATAATAAGGTTGCCATTGGTTACAGAAATAAAAGAAAATTTTCTATTATAATCTATATAAATTATAAAGACTAATATTTGTAGCTTATATACTTAAAAACTACTTGACTGATTTTACCTTAGAACAGGAAAGTTTAGAGAGTAGTTTGAACCACGTTCGAACTTTTACTAAGTGCTATATCCAACCTACCACAGGTGGATTGCCCATTTCGGTTGAATTAGTTCACAATATGCACAAGGTCATGGACTCCGATTTGTCCATGAACTACCGGTTCCTATATAATAGGTAAAACCTAAAATGTTATTTTAAAGAGGTGCTTAGTGCTCACACAAGGATTTCAAAATTCACGAAGGAAATTGAGAAATGTTTTTTGTCTATAAATGGTTTCCATTGGTTACAGATTAAAACTGTGTTAGAAGAAATCAGTATAAATTAGTATTTTTTCGTATTATATAAATGGCTGCCATAAAATAAGCTATTGGACTCGGGCTGCAGACGAGGTAAAAGCATGCTTCAAAATCGTCTCGTTTACGGTCTCGAATAAAGAAATCATAACTCAAGAAAAACCAGTGAAACCTGCAGAGTTTATGTTTTATAAAACGTGATTGTTCGGCAGGATTCCGCATAATATTCGTTTTGTCTGCAGCTTGCAAATTGTCGCGCAAGTGAGAAAAAGAAAAAAGCTACCAATCTTTACTGTACGCCGCGGGGGTGGATTGCCCGTCTCGGTGTTATTCATTCTCGTGGGCAACGACGAAGGGTATCTCTATACTGCAGCTATATAATCATATAATATTTAATCGTATAATATGTACTCACAAAGTGAATATCTTGTCCCACGTGGGCGCCAGCGTTTTGTATTCCGTGTGCGTCTGCAGCCGGGCGTTGACCAGCTCGAGCACGCAAAATGGGTCGGACTTGCCGCACAGGTCGGCGGACGTCAGCCCGTGGGCCTTGTACACGCGGACCGTGAGCACGCCGACGTCGAGCAGGTCGCAAAACGTCCGGCCGACCGAGTACTTCTGCCGGACGTGTTCCTGTTCCGTGATCTCGCGTTCGTAGTTGGACAGGTCCGACACCATGGCGATCGTCGATGTGCCGCTGATGGTCAGCAACAGGTACAGTACGCCACCGACACCTGCGCCGGAAGCATCGCGATGCTGATGATGATCGCCGCCGCCGCCGCAATCATCTCCGCCGACGTTGAGTTTGTATTTGATTTTGTGCGTTTTTTCCCGTTCCAATTTACTCAGGTCCACGACGGTGCTGTATAAACAGAAACAGTACTGATATAGGTAGAGGTGTAGCAGGCGTGATGGAGGTGCCGCGGCTACTTCAGTAAATAGTCTGAACAGTTGATTTCGCTTTTTTCGAATGGTATTAGGAGAGGTCCTAGCGAGAAGGATTATACTTTGGTTTTGTTCCTTATATTATTATGTCTGTTATAATATGGCTAATAGGTACACCCTATTGTTTATAAGCGAGTGTACCCTGATATACTATATGTTTTAATATGACACGTATAGTGTGTTTAGAATTTATTTCCATAGCAAACTTCCAAATATATAATGGAAGAATAATGAATAAATACATATAATGAACTATTGAGAAATTTTTACGATTACTGCTTGAAGTGAAGAATTTATTGATGTTGTACAATGATGTTTTTTCTTGTTTTATATGTTTTATATTACTTTCAGTTCACGTTTTTTTAGCAGTAAAAAAAACATCCTTTAGAGTCTTAAGTACACTATAGATACTTGTTATACTTTGATACACTTAAAATCTCATTTTTGATTTTATCAGTGCAGGGTTTCTCAAGCGTAAGGAAAAACTTAAGAAAAGTGTTGAAAAATGACAATATTTAGCACGCATGGTTTTAACGAGTTTCTCCACATTAGCTTTTTGTGTGCGATAATGTATCATTACTTTTAAATTTAACATAATAACACACCCGCCCGACTCTGTATTAGCACTTTTTTTTAATAATTTAATAAAATGTGAATTTTGGATATAAAGATTAGAATATTTAATACATAGTTGTACTTTTAATGTAATGTCAATTCCTAGACTTAATATTACATTCAAGCATTAATTATTATTTATGAGCAGTCTATGATGGTTTTAAAAACGTTCTATAAGAAATGAATGTAGTATACCGTGCTCGGTTCAGAATCGTTTATTCTTCAAATGCTATCATTTGTCGTAACATTAGTAATTAGAGGCACAGAGTGCCACATACCTACAAATATTTCCGAGTGCCCAAATTCCCGGCTTAAATATCTCACTCAGTAAATTCACTATCCGCAGCTGGCCCCACAATATCATACTCCATTACTCCAATAATACTTTACTACAATTATATTATATTTACTAGGTGCATAATATATTGTTCGATTCATTTCGATATACTACAATGTTAATTGTATGGAGTTGCGTGTTTATCGATTCCTATCCATTTATTATGCTCATGTAAATTAATATTTAATCACATACGGACAATGTGTTTTGGATTATTCAAAATGCGATGGATGTGTTTAGTAAATTAACTACCATATTATAACTACAACACTTATTTTCATGTTAGCTAAAATTAAATATAAAAAATTCATGTTGACATGTTGTTCGTTTATGTTATAACTTATAAGTCATATTATGCGGTGGTTCCTGGACTCTTGTTAAAAAAAAAAAACTATAATATTTACTAAAAAAGCATACCTGTTATACTATGTACTTACATCGAAATCTTTTTTTTTTTTATAATGTAAGTAATTATTTAGAACTTAAGATTTTTAAGTGGTGTTGTGAAACATTAGGATATGTGACATGCGTACAGAATGTGTATTTAAAAATTCTATAATTCGGTAAAAACATTATTTTTGTTTTTAAGTTTCTATACAGCGTCAATAAATATAAAGTTACAAGTCAAGTAATTTATTAGTACGTAAGTAACATTTTAATGGCCTGTGGCTGTTGGTTGTTATATAATATATACTAAATATATGGTCGATAAACACGAAATGCATAGAAAGCTTCTAGTAGGTAATTAGGTACCAAAGTTATAGGTTACCTTTCAAAGAAAATGTATTTACTTAAATAATCCGCCCTTAAATATCGTTTATAATATTATAATATTATCCTAAAATGTGACCAATGACCATAAATTACATTTAATTCTTCCTTAAATAATTTAATGATTTTCCATTAGTATCATATTAATTAAAATAAATTACAATAATTATATACTCGTTATTTTTTTTAAATATTACTTTAATTGCAATTATTCATTTTTTAGATTCTTAGCAGAGCGATGAATGTAATTAATAGTTTTTAAGATGAATATCAATTTACAGTTTATCAAGTCGAGTTTAGTTGATCCATTTGAAGTGTTTTGAGCTTTAGTATGTTTATTTTATTGGGAAGTATAGAGTTTACTTAGTAGTTGGTACACACATCGTCCATAATCGAAAATTCATTAGTAAAATATAGCTATATGCCTATATGTATTATGTATATATAAACACTACTATACACTAACAGGATTCAAGATTATAGTTAACTAGTTAAGTGCCAAGTTAAAATGAAGCAAGTAATTATGACATATATGCGTAGGAAATATCTCATGTAAATCATAAATTATACAATATGACCATAAGCTCTGTATAAAGAAAACCAATAGGGTTTAAAATTTAATGGATTAACCATGTATTTCAGACAAACTCTCTTTTTTGAAACATATGAAAGAGGTTATAAATTAAAATGTATACCTATATACATATTATACTAACTGCAGTATGTACAAGTGCATAACTAAATAATGACAATTATATAATGTTCATTATTTTTCCCTCGTAAAATATTAATTTTTTAAAGTTGTGTGCTTTGGGATGAAGAATAAATCTCAGGTTAAAGAAAATCTGGTAAAATGCCTGAGGGGAAAATATTATGTTGGCGAAAAAAATCCCTACCTCTACTCGTGTTTCCTGACGAATTGCTACTTTTAATTAACATACCTATTTCATAACTGACAAGACCATACAACTAAATTAGTTCTTATTTTAAATTATGACAATGATATAATAAAACCAGAAAAATCGTTGAAAATTCGAAAAACACAGGTTCCTATTCCGCCGAATTCGATTTGTCTATTTATTAATTGTATACGGTTGTTTATAAAAAATATTAAACCATACCTTGCTACTATTTCTTCGCGTGAACGTTCTTTTGCGCACACGTTTATTTCTAGTTCTTGAGTCTGATCGTCAAACAAATGTAAATCGAATTGTTCCAGCCAAGTAGGCGTTGGAATTCGATTACTACCTTTGCTCTTGAATTTTTCTCCTCCCAATCTATATACAAATTAAACTTTGACAATAATATAATTAAATCCCTGTCACGGACAAAAGTAAAACATACCTGAAACGGACATATGGGTCACACAAACCTTCAGGTATTGTACAGTTTTTTATTTTAATCAAAACAATAGTCACTACTGAACTCCAAACTTGACATTTGTACTTTCTACCTATTTCCGTTACTCTTCCAGTCTTTTGAAGACTCTAAAAAAATAGTACGATAAAATTACACAACAAATTCATATTTATTTCACGTAGTTTTAAATAATTGACGTATTATTCTTAATTCTTATCTCATAGAAACGTTTACATAAAAAAAAAGTCAATAAACAATTATTTAATATTATTTCAGTTAGTTTATAGTTAGGTTATTTGTCGATTATAATTACCTGTTCACGTTCTTCTCGGGATTGAGGTGTTAAAGTTACATCTAGATAAATCTCACCAAGGTATTCAGCATTTTGTGTATCTCGTAATTGCAAACATATCTCGTGCTGTCTACAAACAAAAAAAAAAAAACAAAAACAAATATTAAATAATAACACAGTTAATAATAAGTATTGATGGGACACATTTATACTGTAATACAAATTCTCAAATAAAATAATTTTAACAATATTTAAATAATTACTGTAAATTATCATGATAGTACGTATATGTTTATTTACTATACTGGTGATTAAATAACACATTATAATATACATAAAAGTTATAAAGTTCAACAAACTATATTGTGCAGTGTTCACAATAGTTTAGTAAAGTTTAGATATGAATACCTAACCAAAAATGTTTTTTTCTTCATATGCATATTATAACGGTTAAAATTCCTATATTTGTCAGACTTGCATGTATTAATAATAGCTTTTTATCAATATGAATTAAATTGCAAACATTTTCACTTAACATGAAAAGTTATTTAATAGATACAATATGAATAATTATTTTTAATTTATATATGGTACCTTCTTGAAATGTATCTTACAATATTTAAAAATTAAATCATTCTTCACTTTTTGAGTTTTGACTTAATATTATTTTACTTTATTTTCACTTTCCCTTTGAGTTGACGTTTGAATATAATTGTGGTATACTTAGTGGTAGACATCAATCATGACCAGCATTAATTAATTATTCTAACGACATAAAGTGATATTAAACTCACTTGCCCAATTCTAAGGTCGTCAAAGCGATTTGCGCCGCTCCCATAAAGTCATCTTGAAGTCCCCAATCGTAATCAAAAACCTAAAACGATAAAATAATATTGTTTTATATTATAGTTTATATAGTTTAATGTTGTATACCAATAGTTTAAAATTTAAATGTCATAATATCTAATGTAAGTTTAATATATAATTTCATTTTTAAAGTTGTTTGAAAATTTGCAGACTATATATTTTAATTTTAATTTTAAATAAAATAAGCATATTATAATAATATTATCTTATATTCGTTGGAAATGTAATGAGAAATATTATTTCTAAGAATTTTATAAATCAAGGTAGGTACTAATGTAATTTTTTTTTCTAATTGTATTTCCATTTATCAGAAAACCACTCAACCCTACAACAGCATTATATGAGCTGAAGTAAACTATATGAGATGAGTGTTTAACCATTTAGTACTTGAATAATGCTCAGTAAATATAAAATTTTTAAATTATTATTATTTTCAAATAGGTATGTAGTAGGTACATTTCTTTTTTTTTTTTTTAGAAATTATTATAATCTTAAGGTAAAATGGAAAATATGTAATTCATGATAATATAACTATGTTTATTTTATAATTTGAAATATACAAAGTTAAGTTGAAATATTTCGAACCCCTTCTATAACTTGTAAAAATACAAAACTTTTCGAATTTAAATCATTAATCTTTTTACACTATAACTCTATTATAATATTGCATAAAACTACACAAGGAGCATAATATTATACTCTTTTATCCAACAATAATATGACTTTATATTATAGTCGATTATATATCATTATATTATTTTGAGTTTGAGAGTTTTTTATTAATAAAAAAAGCATAAAAAACATTGATATTATTATTTATTATACATAAATCTTTGGTTTGGTCATTTGGGTAAAAATAAATACAATAAATAATTATGCATTATACATTTTATTCTGTTAACAGAATAAACGTGCTGCCCAAAAACTTTGTTACTCTAATTTATTACTGCGTGAAAAATTAATTTGGCATAGTGCGTGAATAATATTATTATGGAAAAAAAGTGCGTATGCATTTTTATTCCATAAAATTATACACTGTACTTCGTGACATGCTCTTATTTTCAACCACATTTCATGTTTACCAAACCCTCTATCGGTCGGTAGCTATGCATAACATGTACACAAAAAAAAAGTATAAAATAAAAAACGAAAGTAGGCGAAAATATCACAGTAAATTAGTCACCTGAATTTAATCGGAATTACAAGACATTACTTTATTTTAAATTCTGGCAGCTGAACATCAATATCTTCGATAACGTCTAAGTAACTTAACAAAGCACATCAATAGGAGATACTTAATCAATGTTTAAATCTGTCATTAATGTCGAAATAAATAAATATTTAAATATATTATAGATACTTATTTGTGTATTATAAAAGTTCATTTTAAATTCCAGTAAAATCATATTTAACGAAATCTTTTATAGATACGGTTAACCGAAACCATAAGTTCTAACGAAACATAGTTTATAGTTTTTATTTTATAATATATAAAATACATATAAAATGATAAACGACATAATTATTAAATGTTTAGGTCCATCATTTTTATTTCCGATAAATCAGGAACTTTGATGGACACGTATATTAAGAGGTTGTTTTCAAATGGTTATTTAATATTTTCATTTATTATAATTTTATTTAACCAACCATACACTTATTTTACTCTCAATTTTTTTTTGGTTTCTCAATCTTAAGAATATGAATTAAAAATTTAGGTTGCCATTTTAATCGCAATTGTATGGTGGGTTTATTATTAAAAAAGGATGAAAACAGAAATATAGGCTGAGAAAAATGTAAATAAATCCAAAAAGAAAATATAGAAAATTATTGAATTAATTGAAGTAGTTGATTGTTAAATAAATAACTCTGTGATTGACACCTTTGACTTCGTCATTAATACGGCCAAAAATTCTTGTAAAACAATATTAATGACAATTGCCGATTGGTATAATGATATTTAATAAAATTAAAGGCGAAAATTATTTTTATTTTTAATTATTATTTAATACAATTAAGCACAATATCGAATAAAGGGAGCTTGTGGACAAAAAATAATTTTAAAAATAACAATTACTTAAGTCATTATAAATAATAATAATTTATTATAGTATGTTAAGACTGTGACGTACAGTGACATAAAATCTATATTTAAAATCGGTAGGTACCTACTAATTTTTAAATTATACTCAAAACAGCCCAGTTGGAAACTCTGGATATTGAAATATGCTGTTAAATTTTGTTATTAATTATTTTAACTGAGTATCGATATAATTCGAAATATGAACAGTTTTTTGTGCAAAATAATACCTATTATTGAAATAGAATATTAATTATTACAATTAACCAGTAACCAGTAACCACGACTGTGTATGACAGATACCATGATAGTGTTTACAGCTCATATATTTAAAAGTACTTACATAAAATCATATTATTTATCAGTAACGAATTACTACAAATATAACTGTGTGTACATTTTAATTGTCGACTTATACGATTGTAGTCATTTACAGACGATACCGATTAATAGAAATGTCTACGAGGCAATATTTTATAATAAAATGTTGGCGACCACAGTGTAATGGTACTTAAATTAAAACCATTTAGACTTATACTAAGTTATAAGTTACTTATGGATACTTTTGTCAAATACTAACGAATGTAAATAAGTTTTATGATCCCGCAGATAGGATTATAGGAACTTCGTCTGTATTATATGAGAACGAAATTTAATTAAACTCGAGTAACACTAATCAAAATACGACAATTATTTGACTTTACACCAACGGGCAAATATTGTATTGTGGCGGAAGTCACTTACTTTAAAAACAATACCATCTAACCTAAGTGATGTAAAACAGTAAAACTACATTACTGATTGTACTTTATAGATCTAAGTATAAAATAACACTTTGTATATATTCACCATTATCGGGTTATGAAACTACGTAATATGCAGCTATTTAATATATTCATAAGAATATTATACAATGTACCACTGCAACTGACAGATATTTGAATAATAATGAATACATATTAAAATAGTACATTGTTTACGAATAAAATAATAAATGAGTTCGTTGTTACCGTCATCGCGCATTTCACTGTGTATGATTTTAAAATATATTGTCTTTATGATGGCGTACGTTATACGGTATTAATAAACGAATGGACCGAGCTCGGCTTTAAGATTTGCGAGGAAGAAATTGGAGTGTATCGATAATACTTATCGGATCAATTTTCAGTGTTCAAGAAGTTACACTACGTCTACACGTGCAGTATTATAGTGCAAGCGATACGTGCCGATCCGTATAGGACTCAGGTCTCATGTCCGTATGCGTAGTAATAATAAGACCATAGTTTAACATGTCTTATATGACACATAAATACTTAATATAATTTACTATCCATAAAAGCATTAGACATTGATACTAGTCGGTAAGTAGCTATTCCCTATCCCGGTGGAGTAATTAGGAATTTGTCCTGGGGGGGGGGAGAATATACATTTTTATCACACAAAATATTACATTTTCAAGTACATTGGTGGGGGTTTATAATATAATATATAATATTATGAAGGCTCTGGGAATGGGATTTATCCCCCTCATCCCCTCTCCCTTAATTACGCCCCTGCCTTATCCTTGTGTATAACGTTTTTCTTCTTGAGAATCTTGCTTAATTTCTTCTATAACATAACCTCGTAAAAGTATAATAGAAATATTATAGAGTCCGTTATTGTCACTATCGTAAAAATTTGGTGTTATTATTTGAATTCGATATATTTTCATTTATTTAGCATTGGTAAAAATGTATTAACGGAGACAAACACGTGCACCTACATTTGACCGTACCGTGGAAAATCATACATATTAACATAGATATGTCAAACCGATTTTGTACCTCCAACATAGATATTTTTGATAGCCATAGAAACGCAAATCAACATTCCTAAAATTTGCTTATACAGAGGAAAAATATCGAGTGGCATGCTACAAGAGTTCCAGCATTTCCTATATCTTACTAGTGTTAGTCCATATGGCTATTTTCTTACAAGTTCGAATATCTTTTTATGTAATACGTATATCTAATTATGAAATTAAAAATAAACAAAACAAAACAACGATTTGTTCATTGGAATTCACGGTGAATGGAACCTGATTTTGACATTCAAAGTATTATGTAAGAACATTGTGAATTAGTTTAAAATTAAATTGATGGAATATTAAAATATTTGTTACATAAATACTAACGTAAAACAAACAAAGGCGTTATATACATCATATATTATACATACGCAACACACAGATTATAATAATATAATGTTTTGTACGTGCAATATAAACATGACTCTTTTTTTATTTTATTCCCGATTTAACAATCTAATCAATTAATAATACCAAGTAATACATTATACATAATATTAAATTTCCAGGTTGGAGGTTTTTCATTAATGTGTATGCAAATATAGCAAAGGTAAATTTATTCGCATGAAACCTACCAGTCATGAAGTTTATATTCTTATGAATAAGGCATAGTATAATATATCAAAATATATTAATTAGAAATTTCCATTCATTTTAATATAATAATTTAGGTCGACAAATTACGACAATAAATTATTATTATGATCGACCGTTGTTCATTTAAAACCATTATTTTAAGATAAAATTTTAACGAATATTATTATTAATTTATTAAAAAAGCCAATAGGTAGGTATAACAAACATTAAGCTTAGATAATCAATAAACTCGTAGACTTTTTTGCTTAAAAATACCATACATGGGTTTGGTGCGCAGAGTCAATGATCGCAAATACAACGGAATACAAAGGCAGTGGGAACACTTGAACAAATTGTACAATTGCGTGTGCTCTGCAGTCATTGGATCGTGTACAGTCGAATGACGCATGAACACATACAATTTGTTCAAGTGTGCACCTCCCGTCTTCCAACTACGAAATAATGAACAGATTTTTTTCTTTAGGAATGTATTATTCCTTCAAAAATTTCGGTAGTTTATAATATTACTGTAGACTGTATAGATATACTAAGTTTAGTTGTACGAAAATGAAAAATAATATAGGTAGGTATCGCAACTTTGAAACACAACTACAATGGTCCAATATGAAACAGGGCAACTTTATATAATGAGAATTGTCGATAGCTCGCAATGAGAAAATAAGAAAAATAAAATATAAAAATCTGAAGTTTCAAGTCCGTTTTAAAATTTCTCGCGACGAATGGTTACAAAAGTCATGAATATTTATTTTGAAGCAGTAGAATCTTAGCTATCATGAAACACATTATCTATAAACCCATTATGCTAATTAACGACGTTCGAATAAAGACTTGGAATCTACTGAACCGATTGGCACCAAATCTTGCACACATATTTCTTGAGACTCGAGGAGTGTTTATAGCACTGTTTTTTCGACCCCTATAGGTTACAATAGGGTGGCTCATGCAGCCACGCTTCACACATGGATTTTGATTTTGATCTCAAAATACGAACATTTTAATTTATATAGATAGGTAGTAGATTCTAAAATATTGAATCTATACTTATATTTTATATTTTTCTAATAGTTGCAAGCATGAATAATAATGCTTTTAATAGAACCGTTATAAAATCTTAATACAAACAATTGTAACTATGTGTACTGTACAGTAGGTAACTACGGTCAATAATAATAAATATATTAATACCAACAATCGTAACTATGTACTGGTAACGGATGGAAGTACAGAAAGACACAACGGGAAAATAAGGTGTTCTAACTTATGTTTACCGATTTTGACGAACAATTAATAAAATGTCATAAAACTATGGAGAGTATAGGCGTATAGCTTGAACCCCGTTTGAAAAATATATACCGAGTGGTATATTAAATCCGACACACGTGGATTGCCTATCTCAGTCCAATGAGTTCACAATGCTAGGTTTATCAACGCCGATTTGCCCTTGAACTGATAAGATACACTAAAACCGAAATACACTTATAATTTCTTTTGTATATTTTTTCATTTTTTTCTTGGGAATAGTTGGGTTATACGGCTAATAAATTATAAATCTTATACTATTATATCGAATTACGGTTAATGCTAAATTTGTTTACCACAGCTGAATAATAACCTTATAAATTAATAAAACTGTTTAAAATATTAAAAAATAATATTATTTTAAGTTATTATATTATACTGTGTGTGTTTGGTAACCATTAAGGAAATAACGTTATTGTACGAATATATTTTATAGTATGGTGGTAATATTTATTTTATGATTTTGTTTATTGTTTTTCTCCGTAAAAATAATAATAGTTAAATATGGGTGGTTAAGGGTTATTGAGGACATACAAACGATGGAAATTGTATTCAAATAATAGGTATATATTTAATTCAACTTTAATCGTCAAAGTGCCAGGCAATTGTACCTCATATTATTATAATGTAATATTTTTTTATTTGGAAAAAAGTTCCCCCTGATGCGGTGGTCTATGTGGCTACAAAATTATAATTTAACAAACAAACATTTGAAGGAAAAAACAAAATTCAAAAACAATATCTATATCTATATACATAACAGTAAAAACCAAATTATATAATCAAAAGATAATACATTTAAAGGTTTACAGTATAGTTTTAATTTATAAATATATTTTGTTATAAGCTGTACCATATTACCATACCTTTGACCTACTACTTATAATTTAAATGAGTATTTTTTTAAATAATATTTTGTTGTTTTAAAATAGAATAAGCCCATACCTTTATTTGAATTGGTTCAAAGGGATCATCTAGTAGGTGTGTAAACGTTTCGTCCCAAGTTGGATTCAGACTTTTATACACAGTTTTCGATTTGTGAATCTGTCTTCCACCTATCTTAAACTTCACATATGGATCACTGAGACCTAAAATTTTGACAAACTTTAGTACTTAACATAGTTTTGATATTGTTCTGGGAAAAATCGATTTTTTTTAACTACCGTTTTTATCCCGAGCAATGAGATCTTTTCCTTTTTTCAAATGTATTTTGAGTTGAAAAAAGTCGTATTTTCTGAGCAAAGCATCATTATGAATTGGATTTTGACCTTCCTGGAAAATAAAAATGCACCAACAGAATTTAATTTAAAGATTTTGTAAAAATATTTTGAATAATATAAATTTGTTTTGTAATGTAAATTATAAACCAAGTTATGTTAATATTATTCCATAATACTGTTCAGACTCATGAGATCGGTATTTGTCTAGAGTAAATATCTTCAACTATAAACTATAAAGGACCCCAGTTTATACAGAACGTTTGTTGTTTTTAGAAACTACCTCTATTCTTTATTGGGTGCATACCTATCTACCACGTTATATTAAATTAACATAACTACAAAAATTAGAGGAATTTAAATTAATATTTACTGGTGTAGCCAACTCTATTTGTTGTTCAGATCTTATTGAATTTTGTCTCCGAAGTCGAATTGGATGATCGCGTGAAACAACTTTCTGGAACCAATTCTGGGTCAATCCAAATTCTAAAATACAGTATTAAATATATATATATAACAAATAGCCAATATTTTAGTACCTAGTATTTGTAGTTTTATTTTATTCGATATTCAAACATTTTTCTTAAATGTGAAGAAAGTGGTATTTTTTAAAAAATTATCTGCCTACTTTATTTTTCTTTCTTACATTTCAAAAAACACTGAGTAAACAATCTAATTTAATTTGAGTTCATTATGACTTTTAAATGTATTTCAATAAAATGTATAGTTTTGAATTTAATATTATAATAATTCTTATTTTGACCTTTAGATTTAATCGTAACTAGTATACACAATTAATCAAAAAATAAAAACTTTAAGGTAGTTAAAAACAGATTGATATAGAGAAAAAATTATTTTTTTTAAAATTAAGTAATAAAAAATACTTAGTAATAATTGTTTCGATTAAGACTCAGTTTTTACGTCGAAACATTTTTCATCTTACAACTATTTAAGAAAATTTAGTTTTTCAATTTTACATTTTTTTAAATACCCTACCACTAGTAATTGAATTTTGAGTATTTTTTGAGTCTGTAGACTTAGTTTGTTGTAAAGTGTCTGGACGGACTAGTCTTGCAAGTATAGGAGATTCAGAGGGTGACTCGTCAGTGTCAGAGCCCCGTGCTTTATTTCTCCCTTTGGCCCATTTCTCCTGAAAATAGTGTTATAATGATTAAATTAGTGTAAATATATACAAATTCAAATAGGCTAGAGTTCGGACAAAAAAATATAGAGTATAAACTAGTATATTTTTTAGTAAAATAAAAATGTTTCTTTACCTCAGTAGGAAACCACCGATTCTAATAAAACATAAAAATTAAAAATAATAATGAATTGTTAATTTATTTAGGTATATTGATATTATTACAATATAATGTTAGTTGAATTCTTTAAATAATAATAAAGTGTAGTTATATAACATAATATGAAATTAAAATTCGATAAAATAAAGATTTCTAGGCCTAGGTTATAGCCTACGGTATATTAAATATTTTATGACTTTAATGTCTTGACTAGTTTTTAACGAGTCCCTATTAATGATTACAGTTAATTTTAATATATATATACATAATATATTTTTTTTTTAATATAACGTGTTAAGCACATTATAAATATTTATTAGACATCTATATAAGCACATTATAAAATAAATTGTTCTGATATAATTTATATATATAGGAGCATAAATATGTGACTTTAAGTTATGAGGAGTGGAGTAACTACCATATATTTTTTTATGTACCATAATTTATTTAAAATAGCTAAGAGTATGCTTAAAAGTATGATTAATAAATATTATTAAAAAACAATTGCCCGAGAGCATAATATTATGTTACGTCTTATCTTGTATAAAAATTCCCTTTTATGTGAATATACTGAATTATTTTCTTTAAATTGCTTAGGAGCTAAATAAAAAAGTATATTCTTTGTTATTAGTACTTACCTAGTTTTAAAGGCTTAGTAGAATTCTGGTCTAATTTATTATTGTTAGCTAGCTACCAATGGGGTAATGCAATTTGTGTCAAAATATAAAAGCAATATATTAACAACTATATGCTTGGCTGTATGTGCATACAAATGCACAGAAATAAATAAGTATTAGTCCAATAAATTTTGGAATCTGTAATTAATTTAACAGGTAAAAAATGTCAATAAAAAGTTGAAAAGAATATATTTTCAATTAGTTATGTAATAATCAATTATTATGTTACATAATATTAAGAACAGCTAGTGCATAATATAATGTTGTTCGTATTATATACCTAGTGGTATATGGAATTTTCTGAAATAAATTATTATAAATACAATATAATTTTAGTTTAATTTAAGGATTTATATTTTAAATTATTAAAATTAATAAATAGTTCTTTGATTATTTCATGTTTCGAAGGAGCAAACGAAAATAAAAAACATATACGCTATAAGTTTAGTAAAATATATAAATACTTTTAGTTTTATCAAACTATTATCGATTGTTTTTTAACGGTTATGTTAACTCAAACAATAATGTTAAATCAATAAACTGGTTTAACGTTTGCTACAACGTAATATATATTGATACTTTGTTTTATGTTCCTAGGTTATTTTCAGCAGGTTCCGTTTATTTTTTTCTTAACGAAATGTTGACAGCAATTAATATATTTCAAAGTTGTCATTTCAGACTATGATATTATTTCAATAATAATATTGTTGAGTTAAATTTGAGAAATTCTTAATAGTTTCAATTCATAAAATAGTTGACCTGTGTACCAAATTGATTGTAACAGTAAATGATTTACTGCCTAATGTTTTTATTTCAATGGAATAGATTGGCAAATTTAGATTGATAACAAAATCATGTCTACCCCAATTTCAACTAAAACATAAACTTTATAGTGCATGATAAAATGTCAGTAATTGTTTACTATTTAATGTCAAAATATAATATTATTTAAGGATAAGATAAGCTTCGGGCAAGTTTGTTAGGTTTAGTTTTCGATGTAAGTATTTAGTTCAGTATATTAACGCAAATATCTCTATTATATTATGGTAAATTACTTACTGAGTATAGGAACCAGATTTATAATAAAACTATATACTTGGAACTTTTAACAATGAGCAATGAATAATTCTATACAACTTATGGACATTTGATTTTTATTGAACTGTTAGTAGTTTTTTTCAGGTTGTATGGTCTAATAGTAACTGTAGTATTTGTATCATAATTTAACATTATTATTTGGTAATTATAATCAATGTATTTATGGGTGAAGTTTAGTTTATAGAAATCAAGCCTAAAAAACAAGTAATTTTATTTCAATAATTATGGAATTTTCATTCAATTAGATAAGAGTTATAGGTATTAAAAGACCATTCGAAAACAAATGAAACAAAAAATATATTGATTTGTCGGTCGTATGATATTATTGTCTGTATTCTGCAATATATCTATACTACGTTATGTCACTACGAATTACGATAACACGTTTTATGAACTCTCCTAAAGGTAATGGTATTATTGATTTTGAATACCACGGGTAAAAAAAACAAATATTTATTTACTATCCCTCAAAAATGGTGTTCAGACTTTTTGTCATTGGAGTACATAGTAATGAAGTTTGCATCTTTTTTTTACCACACGTGTATACCCGAACACCACAGGGACCCTGCACGTAGTTTGGAAATTGTAGGTAGGTATAACATAACATTGCGTATATAATTTATAATGTTTTATTTTTCCATAGTTTATCATCGAGCAACCTAAATATACGATATAATATACCTATATTATTTGCTTTTAAATTTCATAATTGTACGCGCACAGACACACAAGCTATAGGTTACAAACCCTTAATATTTCCTATTATTTTATTTTATTTTTTTATTTTGGTACTTTTATTAAAAAACATCGACATTATCCGATTGAAAATAATCATCGTAAGTACCTATAAGTAGTACTCGTATGCTTTAATTTCGTAGGTACTTCCCGTTATAAGAATATATCTATATCCGATTATATCTATACATGGGATTTCATGTGATTACCTTTAAGGAATTGAAGAAGGAATGGGTCTTTTGCACCACGTTGATGCTTTGTATAGTAGACTGGGCGGTGGCAGTGGCACAGGAAGACGAATTGATTGCAGATGGACAGCACCCCTGACCGGCTCCTGGCGTGCTCGGCGACGACGACGATGCAAAGCTCTCCATCGTGACATGCCGCCGTTCCGCGGCCGCAAACTTCTTGCACAAATAGTCCAAGTCCTCGGGATAGCTGAGGTCGAAGTCGGACTTGGACAACGGTCGCCGTCGGACCAAGTCGCTGGTTCCCGTTTCATCATTGCAGGGTACCGACGATCGGTGGTGGTCGTGTTCTCTCAACGATCTCGTGTTAAATTTCACGTGGCACACGTTTTCGGCTATATATAATAAACACAAACAAGGCGACGGCGCTATGAGTATAAAATATGATATTTCTCATAGACATTTTATCGTATATGGGTTCGCAAAACACCCATTCTGTTATAGAGCTCATATCCTATAAAAGCTTTTATGAAATATTAATAATTTTTAAATGGGCTAAAAAGAGCATTTTGAAATGTTGTTGTATGCGTTTGGTATATATACGTGTATAACCTAGACAAAGGCTGAAGGGCATTATATAGACTTTTGTGAGACCCAGGAAATATAGTAAGGGAAGAAATAACACGCAATATACCCTGTTGCTCATAAAAATCCCACGGGGTCACTCATCCGGCGGGATATAGTCATATAGTCTTATTGCGGTTGTTGGCATCGTGTCTGATAAGAAATCCTGCATTCCTGCCGTTACGCGGCATATACATGATGATATAACTATACAAAAAACAGAAAAGCGGTTTTAGGTCATATATGACACATACCGGATATACTTACCTATTATAACCAATATTATCACTATCGAATAATATCGATTTAAGTACTAACAATAACATTCGATTTATACTAACTATTTATCAGAAATAATTAGAATGTATAATATATTTATAAAAATACGTCATAATATGAATTGGTATTTTATGAAACATAACAGAATAACAGATTTGAGTGTTTTATTTAAATACAGAGTGTAGTATAGGACGTAGATATATCTAACAAACTACCTAACCACAGAAATTTTTTTTTATTAATAAACCATTGTTTTATTACTATTATTATTATTATTATTATTATTATTTATTTAGCTCAGTTAATACGGGAAACATGAGAATTGATATTATATAAACATACCTTGACTTTAAGGAATAACTTTAAAAACCAAACCAGATTCCTTAATACTTGTATGAGTTTATATGGTAATGTGAGGAAGCTACTATTATATTATACAAACAATTGTATTATACACTTCATCTGTAAATTTAACTAGCTTGACTGCTTGAGAAAGAGCAAGTTAAAAACGATTTTTGGAAAACTCATTTATGGCTACATACTTTCAAATTAGTCCAACAAAAACGGATTTTTATACTACAAATAAAAAAAGGAGTTGGATTTAGCCACTGTTTATAATTTAGGTGGTGCAATCAATAGATGTAAAAAATAATATCGTAAAATGTAGATAAAACTCAGCTGTAATTGCATGGCAAATGTATTAGTAATAGTTTTATTTTTATATTAAACATAATTTAATTTGAATTTCATTTAGTCGCATAATTATATTTTGATTGAAAATAAAACAAAACATTTGATATCAAATGATAAACATCTTCTGATCTAAATAACAATCCTTTAATTCTATTGCTATGATGTACCTATGCTTATTTTTTCATTTTTAAAATATTCAAATAATATATGAATACTATAACAATATTATTATTAAGTACCTAATATAGTATATTTCTAAATGAATCCATCTACTAACTAAGCTATATTTCTAATATTCATTGGAAATATTTCTTATGTTTAAAAATGTATCAGAACGTTACGATTATCCAAACTCATTTTAATAGGTTTTTATATTCTTTACTTGTGTATTGACTTACGTTATTTATACAACACCGGCTTAAAATTGGAAAGTACCACTTTAAATATTAAACACATCACGCAAAGTATATTTTACATTCGCGTGTAAGCAATATATAATAATACAATATATATATATATATGTACAAATAATAATATATAACACTATATAACCTATTTTTTTTTAACACAGTTAGAAACTCATTTAGATATTAATCTGAATTTTTAAACTGCCCATTACCTTATAGTATGTATTATGATTTTATGCTTACAAACATTTTCCGACCACTTCGTTCTTTAACACTACTCGTTATCACTATAATATATAATATATAGCTATATTGCAATCAGAAACTTGTAGAGGTTTATGTTACTATATATTATCATATAGCCTATTGTTGTTTAAATCAAAACTCTCGAGTTACAGTCATATGTGTGTACAGGTACCGATGTATTAAACAAAACAATACAAAGTGAAGTACAGTACGAGTTCAAAGTTCAAACAGCTTGGAATACTAAATCCGTGGTACCTACATTTTCTCGCCTGAATAAAATTCCGAGTATTTGTGAACTAAGTAATAACCCAATTGAAAAGCAAATGGCATTACATTCATGCATATTTTAGACCATGTATAATATATTATAATGTACAAAAAAAAAATAATATGTTCTCGATAACTATTCTACTTAACTATATGCAAGCTACCTCACGACCAGGAGAACATCATATACAACGTAACAGTTATTATTAATTCATCGTACTTATAGATTTTGCACTAATCGACTGAGAACCTCATAAATAAACGTTTCAATTTTCTTTGCATTTCTCATTTATAGACAAATATATAATAAAGTAAAATATAGGTACACGCAGTATCTAGTATTTAGGATTCATATATTTTGTTATAGCTCGATCAAACAAAAAAAAGCTGAATACAGAATAACAGACAATGTGATTGTCAGGTTAATCGCTATAGCCTCGCTATTAACACGACCTGATTATATTGATAAATTTATTTTTTTTTATTAAACGTTCGAAGATTGCAGAGAACAATGATATATCATCACATTTAAAATCGATCGTGAGTTTGCTTTTATGCGGCACAACTGGATTAATCCGGAGCACAGCCTTAAGCACACAACTTTTTACTATATAAATATTTTTATTTTCATAATAAATGTATTAGGACATTTGGACAATATTTTAAAAGGATGTCACCACATTGTTTGTTTCCTCTATCTGATACACGTGAAACATAGATAAAACGCATTCACTCAAAATATTTTCTTTTATATTTTTCTGGTTTCTTAGAGTATTACAAATATTATAAAAAAAAAAAATTTTGAGGGTATTTATCGATTTGTCTAATTATTGTTTCAAAACAATTAAATATATCCATTATATCTAAAGTCAAATAATAAAAAATGTAAAACCGATATGTATCAAACCTTCAAAAATATTAACCTCTATCATTTTTTTACATATCATGATTTTACTCTAAGATTACTCAAAAATCATAAAAATCGGTTTTACATGAATGCCTCATCTTATTTATAGTGGACATGGGTCTATACAAATATTGCTCTGACATTCTCTTAAATGAATATAGACATATGGTATATAATTGCATGGATATATCACATTATATTATAGAATATCACATAAAATTGTTCATCATACGAATGCCTAATAAACCACGTTCACAAATATCTTGTGTTCTATACTGAATATAGTACTAACTATTATTTATCTATGTAATCTATATAAGTACCAATAGGTACCTACATATATACGAAAAAATATGTCGATAATGTTCTAATGCTTATATTTTTCTAAAAAAACTCACTAGTAAGGATGGGTGGCAATATGGCTACTAGAAAGTTCAATGACATATTTGAATGCATATGCTAAACTATAATCACCAAATTTTTTTAGTGTGGGTTTTATACAATTTTTAGATTTTTAAAATTCCTAATGTACATAATGATTAAAATTAAGGATAGGTAATTTCACCGATTAATATTAAAAGACTGCAGGATTTTTATTTGAAATATATGAAATTATAATATATGTACATAAAATATTAGGATGTACAGTATAGACTAGAGCCGGAGCTACAAATTGTGGGGCTCTGTGCAGAATTGTTTGGATAAAATAATATTTTGTTGAATTATATCTTCATAAATAAATTATAATATAATACATTTATGAAGAGTTTTAAAACTAAGATTACACTGTAGATATAATATTATGTGGTATGTTTTAAATGCTGCACCTTAACATTTTCAAAGGGACAATTTTCTAAATGTTTGAACTATAGAGTGACTGAACGTAACGTTTGGACAAACTTTACTACCCGAAAACAGTGTACATAAACTATAGACAAAAAATAAACATAATTGTAAATTGAATAGATCCGATCCTTCACTTCACTCAGAAATCAGAATCTAACTACTACTATATTAGGTTATTAATTTATTACATTGAAATTTGAAATGGACTGAAACTTGGATCTGAAACTTAATTATGCAAACGCCGCATGTCTATGGTTTCATATTAGTTTAGTTGTAGGTTGTTTAAGTACTTCAGTACCTAATTAAGATGTACGTGTTTATCCAATTCAATGTATCGTAAATATTAAATATTGTTAAAAATTACATTTTAAATAAAAGTTAGATTACACATATAACTGTACGGATGTCATAGAATTATTATTTCAACTGAATAGTTTGAAAAATATTATCTTTTCTAGAATTATAATATTTTATTAGTGATGATTTGCTTTTCTGGAGTGAACTCAGTTTCCGAGGGGCCCTACTCCTACATTTGTGCGGGGGCACCGGTTGCACTACCCATGATTAACTAATTGAATTTATTATTACTTTAACCTATTTTATATTAACCTAAACATTAATTATGCTTATTGTTATTAGTAATTTACAGATTGTACAGTTCTTAATTAAAAATTTAATTTAATTAAACATAAGAAAACATTAGTAGTAAACACTCTACGCCTTCTTCTCAAATATAGGTACTATAATAAATTTATAAATGCATTTCCATTAAATATGAAAATGTCTCAAGTTAATTTTTGTTCTGTAATTCTAGTTGGAGCTCTACGAGATGGTATTCGTATTCCTATCGTGCGTACAATTCGTTAAACTAAGAGCATGATACTGAATAATCATGACTATGGTATATAGTGTATAAC